ATTATATATATATATATATATATATATATATATATATATATATATAGAGAGAGAGAGAGAGAGAGAGAGAGAGAGAGAGAAAGAGAGAGAAGCCCAAAGCACAGGTTTGCACAATTTATCCTGGATCATTAGGCTGCATCTGTACACGTGCACATACCGCAGTCTATGTGATCATTAATATATGGTCAGTAAATAACAGACTCATAGGCGGAGAAAGAATTGCGGTCGAAATTACGCACCAGACACATTTGTTACCAAGGTAGCGTCAGAGTGATAAGCCATTCACGCTGTTTACACAGTTTGGGATGGTATTTTTGAATGACTGGTGCCTCGGCGTATTTCATAACCTTGGCATATTTTGTGTTGTAGAGGATTCTGAACGCGTTATGCAGCATGATACAGTGTTTCATTTCGACCAGGTGTCGTGTGATCGACCAACTGAATTTCCCAACGGGTCATTGGTGACTTTATACTTCCGAAGTTCCCACTCATCGTTTTTTGAAGCCTGAGAAGGATGAGTTCTTTTTATTCGATAACACAGTTGTCTCTCCGTTCTGCCAATGTAGATGGCCGAGCATCTGCACTTGAAATGATAGATACCATTAGATTTGGCTTGGGGAGACAACGGTTCTTTCACCGATGGTATTGGCAACCGGGTGGTTGTAAAAACGGCGGTGGAATCGGCTGCGTGGTAGGTTCGCTTAACGGCTAATCTGAGGCGCTTGGTAATCACGACGGTGATATTGTCACCCTTGAAAGGCATTTGCAGGATCATTCTCATCCTATCTGCACCTGATACGTTTTCCCGTGTACGGTTGGGTCAGGAGTGCTTTAAGATGAACCCTTTCAAATATCCGTCAGATTGTTAAGGTTTTCTTCTCTTGTCATATTTGTTATCCAATGTATCTGCTGTGCAAATCAGTCGTGCTCTGTAGAATAAATAGCATTCGAACTAGATCAGTCTTAACAATATTTTCATTTGACTAGCTTTGTTCCAATGAGATTGACAAGATTGGTCTATTTCGGTCCACCATTTGAATCAAAACGCATCTGTCATTTGAGGAAGTTGTAGAATGTGAAAAGAACCGAGCGATAGGTGTGACCTCTCAGTTTAGTTTACCGACCCTACGATGTGCAAAGATGGGGAGAGAGGGGGGGGGGGGGTTGATGGCCTCCCTGTAAGATTATTCAAACGTTATAATTAGTTTATTTGAAATTTAAATAAATGATTCAATCATCAACCAGAATCGTGTACCAGCCTGTAAATACTTGTTAACCATCGTCCATATACTGAGTACTCAATTCAAGCCTGGAACCCATGGTTGCAGCGAGATCAGGAGGCACTCGAACATCCACAGAGAATTGCTACCAAAATGGTCAAAGGTTTGCATTCCAAGACCTACGGAGAAAGAATACAGCTCCTAGGGCTATACTCATCCCAATACCGTCGAATCAGAGGCGATATGATTTTACTCTATCGGATTTTCCAACAACCCAACCCAACCCCTGTAGATCTCTGTTGGTTTTATCACACAACGTTCATCTCAGAGGGAATCCGCTGAAGTTGGCACACCAAAACAGCCGTGTCGACTGCAGACGTCACTCGTTTGCAAACAGCGTGTGCAGCACATGGAACTCTCTACCAGCTCACGTTGTCTGTGCCCCAACATTAGTATCATTCAAACGTCAGCTTGATGATGCCCTGGCAAACGTTACGTTTCAACACCCAACTACATAACATATTCTCCTGTGCTCATCAAAACATTACTTTACTACTCTACTTTCTTGGACTAACTGTGATATTACGAATCGTCATCCGAACCAAAGTGTAAACACCCTATGGGATTTGTAAAAGCGAAGTCTCTGTAAGTTATATCCGATAATAAAAATTTGAATTTGATTTGCTGTATGCATGCGTTTCGCATGGGTTTCACATTCTATTGATACTAACACATTTATTTAGTTAGTTAGCGACTCAGTTTACTCGTTATTTCACCATCAATATCTCGTGCATATGGGGATCTTTTCTACGGAAATTCAAAGACAGTCAGAAATCTTATCTCCACTGTGCCGCAGTGTTTGCAACAAAAGCCTTATTTATTAGTTCGTTAGCACCAGTGCACTCACTCTCTCTCTCTCTACCTCTCCTACCTCTCTCTCCGTTTATCCCCTCCTTCTCCCCTCCTCACCGACACTCCGCTCTCAATTATCATTTTATCTGCTAGATTTGGGTTCTCACCGGGGACAAGGAACAAACAGCAATCACAGTGAGCCAAGCGGCCGGTCAATTTCCTCCAAATATGAGCCTAATGAGAATCACCAATTGCCCCACAATTGCTAGTACAGCTTGTCGAATCTATGAAGTTTTGGAAGGTTTAGAAACTGGCACGGAACAATATGACAATCCTGTGTACAGACCTGAAGACTCAAATAAAGAAGAAGTTGATGAGATTCTCGCGGCCGCTGTGGAAGATGAACTATCCCGTGGAGTTCACAAGGACGAATTGTCCTGTTTCCGCACCGAACAAGATCTATCCGAACTTGTGCACAAAATTGATACACTCAGACGTAAACTGATGGAATATGAGACAAAAAAACGATTTCGGGATCGGTTGCTTCGTCGAAGGCCTCAGCAGTACATTGGGAAATCCGGTGAACATATTGGCCTGGTCGTTGACGGACAAAGTTTGATTCATGCCCTCGGGGTGAGTGCGTGTGTGTGTGTGTGTTCAGGAGTCCATAGAGAGAAGCGATTGGGATGGAATTTGTTTTGGGGTAATTTAATCATTTTTATTTATGCGTATTCGTCTAGCTGAAAAGAAAGTTTCATCACCAGCCAAAATGAAATCTACCCGCTGTTTGTGGTATAATTAACTTATACTGTGACTTGGCCATTTGGGGAACAGAATAAAAATAGATTGTTGATGTTCAAATACCGCTATCTATGTAACATTGCACGAGTCTGGTGGGGAAACCAGACAAACAATGCTGAGGTTAGGTGTAGAGTTTTAGGTAATCGAGGTCGTCCACTGGACCCCGTGATTGATCTCTATAGATTACGTTGGTTGGGGCATGTGTTACACATGTCATCAGATAGGTTGCCGCGGTGAGTGATGTTTACCGGATCAGGTAACGGTTGGAAAGAGATCAA